TTTTATTTAGGGCCTCCCTGATGGCACAGTGGTTGAGCACTGGGCTGCAAGCTGCCACAGCCTCTGCAGTGCCAGTTCAATCCCTGGCCGCTGGGCAAGGGTCCCACATGGCGCGCAGACCTCTCCTGCTGTGCCCGCTGCTCCCCTCAGCAGTGTACTTCCTCAGTCTGCCTGCTCTGCTCTCCCCTCTGGCTCTGGTGATTTCTCTCACCCTCCTGCACTTCTGACTGTACCCAGTGCTTGTATAAATAAATAAAATAAATCTTTAAAAAAAGATTTATTTTATTTATTTGTGTATACAACAGCTGGGGTGTAGGCCAGAGGTGTGGGAGGTAAGGGCTTCACTGGAGATACAGTGGGGAGCAGAACAGGCAGACTGACTGAAATACACTGCTGAGGGCAGCAGCAGACAAGATAGAAGAGGTTTGCTGTGCCATGTGGGCAGCTCCCTGGCCAGGTTGCAAATAGCTTGATAGAGCTGAGACTTAACCCCTTGTGCCACCAGAGAGGCCCAAGTTTTTTAATTTTAGTTGTCCTTTTTTTCATGTGTGAATATTCTTTTTTACATTGAAATATAATTGGCAGATAACATTAATTTCAGGTGTGTAACATGATGGATGATTCAACATTTGCATACATTGTGAAATAATTACTACAACAGGCTTAGTTAATATCCATTGCCATGCAAAATTCATTTTCTTGTGATGAAACTTTTAAGATCTACTCTCTCAGAAACTTTCCAATATGTCATATCATATTATTACCTGCATTCACCATGCTGCTGCTTGTTACATTTAATTGAGTGAATTGTACATATGAATTACATTTCAGTCAAGCTGTGTGAAAGCCCACTTAGAATATGTGATTATAGTGAGTTCTTAATAAATGTTAGTTATTAATTCCAGTGCTATTATTAGGGTTCATTCCACTGAAGACTGAATGAATGTTTATGGCATTTTGCAAGGTTTTCCCACTAAAGTCAGCATGTTGAAAGAAGTGCAAAAGAAAATTAAGGTTAATATATGCATGTAAATTCCAGAAATTCCCTTTCAGAAAGAAATCAAGTACGGCCAAACATTAATATTCTAATTTTATTTTTTTCTGCTAGATAATTAGCAAAATGTTCTGTGGATCTAGCATGCTAATTTTCTGGAGTTCTCCAACCCTTCTTCCTTGCCCTTTGGAACCCATGCTTACTCCTATTGTAGCTATTTGTCTAATCTACTGTATTCCCTAAAGAAGTAATTCCCATTGGAATGAGATGAGGATATAGAAATGTCTAACTCTACTTTCTAATTGTTTTTCCAATAAAAATTTTTCTAGGTGTAAATTCTTTTTTCAGCCCTAGATAAGAATATTTATATCTACTCATAGAACCTATAAACAGTTCCCTGTAACAGATGGAAAACACCTTTTTGGCCTAGGGAGATAGAAATTTCTCTCCAGTAATGAGGGACAAACCCTCTAGAGTGTCTAATGGGATAAGCAAACTGGCAAGCTATCAGTCAGCTGCTGATGACCCTTACAAAGTTACATTGCACCACACTCTCAATCACAGGTTAGTTGAAACAGGGACTGAATTCCTAAAAGACAGGAAAGATGAGCACAAGTTCCTTTGGAAAATTCCCGAATGAGAACAACTCTTTTAATATGTACACACATTATGGGAAAAGAAAAAGGGGAAACCTATAGGGCTTAAGCTACCACAGTTGGGTCTCCCTTAGCACCAAGGATTAACTAGTAATCACTTGTGGAGAAAAAGGAACTCTCCTACACTGCTGGTGGGCATGCAAACTGGTCCAACCACTATGGAAAGCTGTGTGGAGGTTCCTTAAACTACTGAAAATGGAGTTTCCATATGATCCAGCAATTCCGCTCCTAGGTATCTACCCAAAGGATGAAAAACTTTAATTCAAAACGATACCTGCACCCCTATGTTTATTGTAGTACGGTTGACAATAGGTAAGCTTTGGAAACAACCCAAATATGTGTTGATGAATCAAGAAGATGTGGTGTATATATGCACAATGGAATATTATTCAGCAATCAAAAAGGATAAACTTATGCCATTCACAGCAACATGAATGGAGCTGGAAGGGATTATGGTCAGTGAAATAAGCCAGAAAGAAAAAAGAAAAATATAAAATATCAGGGAAAAAAAAAAGTAACTATAATAAAGTTAAAATCAAAGTTAACAGGCAACTATCGATCAGAGACATTATGTAGGAGGTGGGAGAAGGATCGGGACAGGGTGGAAAGAGCACAAGGGACTATAGTAATGGTGCACAGGTGAAATGGTAGTGGAGGGCCTCCCCGGTGGCGCAGCGGTTGAGTGCCACGTTGCAAAGCTGCCTGCAGCCTCTGAAGAGCCAGTTCGATCCCCAGCCACTGGGTGAGGGTCCCATATGGCATGCAGACCTCTCCTGACGCCTGCTGCTCCCCTCAGCAGTGTACTTTATCAGTCCACCTGCTCTGCTCTCCCCTCAGGCTCTAGTGAATTCTCTCACCCTCCTGCACTTCTGACTGTACCCAGTGCTTGTATAAATAAATCTTTAAAGAAAAAAAAAAGAAATGGTGGTGGAAATTTCACAGGGAAATCATACATTGTACAAATATGAAAAATGATGTAATAAATATATTTTAAAAATCAAATCTGTTTGTGCCCTGAAAAAAAAAACATAGTTATCACTAATATGGCTTACTACACATGCTCTCAATGTGGACAAAAGAGGATGTCAAAAGGATGTCACACACTCTCCTCTACCATATAAAACAATGCCATCTGAGTCAGTCTCCTCCTACTCACCTTTTCATACTCATCTCATTGTTTTTGGCAAGCCCAAGAGCAAGTGAGTTCCTATTTATCTTCTTGGAAACACCTTTAACAAACTCCTTATTGGCTTCCTTCTTGGGCTGGACAGAGTGACTTTGAGCAGCCTGCCAAAAAAAAGGGGGGTGGTGAAGGAGTAAGGAAATGAAAAGAACAACAAATTACCTAGTAGGTGGCTCTTAGAGGAAAGTTCTGAGCCATATCCCCTCTTTGTTTGGGTGTTCCCAGGAATGATAATCAAACCATCTCACAACCAGTATGGCACTGGTGTTGACTAATCACAATGGAAGCTAACAGCCAAAGCAAGTACAGTAGCACTTGTGCATACTGGCTAAATAACAATTGTACATGTGTCCGAGATACATAGGATGCAGCTCTGATCTCTATGTCAGGCACACTGTCTGGCAAATTCCCAAGAAGTTGCAATTTTTTTTTAAAACATCGCATTCCACTTTGACATCATAAGATGTTCAGAAGGGAGAAAACAAAATAACTGCCTGTGCTAGCTGGGGACACCACAATCAACTAGCTTTTCAAGGTAGACCTCTAACACAACACTACTATATCTACTGCATCTCAGTCAGGGGATATTTATTAAACATATGGTTCTAGTGAACACCACAAACTCTAATCATAACTAAATCTGTTAAACAGTAGGAGAGATCATAGGACTGTGAATAATGTCAGTAAAAATAAACTTGAAAGTTATGCCTTTAGGGCCTCCCCTGGTGGTGCAGGGGTTGCGCGCTGGGCTGCGAAGCTTCCCGCAGCCTCTGCAGCGCAGGTTCGATCCCTGGCCACCGGCAAGGGTCCCACATGTCGCGCAGATCTCTCCTTCCTTGCCCACTGCTCCCCTCAGCAGTGTATTTCGTCAGTCTGCCTGTTCTGTTACCCGCTCTGGCTCTGGTGAACTCGCTCACCCTCCCACGCTTCTGACTGTACCCAGTGCTTGTATAAATAAATAAATCTTTAAAAAAAAGTTATGCCAACAGTGCAGGAGAGTTCCTTTTTCTGGACCTACTAAACATAGAGCTTTCATATGATCCAGCAATTCCACTCCTAGGTATTTACCCAAAGGACACAGAAACCAATTCCAAAGAGCACCTGCACCCCTGTGTTTATAGCAGCACTGTTCACAATAGCTAAGCTTTGGAAACAACCCAAATGCCCAAAAATAGATGACTGGATCAAGAAGATGTGGTACATATACACCATGGAATATTACTCAGCATTCAAAAAAGATAAACACATGCAATTTGCAGCAACATGGATGGCGCTGGAAGGGATCATGCTCAGTGAAATAAGCCAGAAAGAAAAAGAAAAATGCCGGATGGTCTCACTCATAGCAGGAATCTAGAAAACTTAAATAAGGGACCAGGAAAATGAATAACTGTAAGAAAGTGAAAATCAAAATCAACAAAAAACTATGAACCAGAGACATTCTATGGGGGGTGGGGGGAGGGGAGGGATTGAGTCAAAATAAGGGGGTTGCATTTGTATGGGGAATATAAAAATAAAATTTATTAAAAAAAAAGTTATGCCTTTAAAATGAAACAAACTGAAGCTAATTATATTCCAAATAAATACTATAGCCACAGTAAAGTTTTTTTTAAAAGCACAGAAGAAAATAAAATGCCAGAAACAACTAATCCAAGTAAACACAATATTTGACTATATACACTAAAATAGCCATCCTTAGTCAGGATGGATATGGTGGGGGCAGGGGTAGCAAAGAAAATTGAAAATCTGGATTTTTTTATAGAAGATTTGCTTATTATGATGGTATAGACAAAGTAATGTCAAAACTTTTACATATATTATTGAGTAAATGTGAGGATGTTCTTGGGAATGAGGGTTCTCATTGTAGAACAAGGAACATATGAATATGGACTGGGGAATGCAAGAAGGAACCGTGTGTACTGGAAAAGTAGTTGCATAAATTCATGATTTCTTAAATCATTACACGCGTGTATGTATGTATACATGTATGTGTATATCTAAGTATATAGGTACATGTGTGTATGTTTAAATATATGTATGTATGTGTGGATATGCATTTTTACATGTAGATATTTCCTAGTTCTGCCTGCTGAAGGATAGGAAAAAGCAGACACCACAGTAGCACACCTAGCACTGACATCTTGGTCTCTAAAAGAAACCAGAAATCTCAGGAGAAATGGTTGATTACAGGGCTGAGATAAAATAGGTACAAGATACACCTGAAATATGTTATACAAGGACACAGTTGTCAGATTGAAAGGGACTCTATTGGCCAAATCTGGGAAAATTTGAGCATCAAAATAATTTAATACTATATAATAAGCCACTGAAAATAGAAATTAATTAATCCATATCAATAATAAACAGGGAACCTCAAGGGCAGACTGGTAAATGGTGAGTGAGCGCTCAAATTGGAAACAAAATCATCTTGAAGACTGGTTTAGGCAAAAATCATCAAAGAATGCTAGATCTAAGGGACATTTTAATAAAGAGCAGATTATTTACAGGCTCCTAAGAGTGTGTCACACCAACTGCTTATTAGTTGCAAAGGAGTGGGGGAAAGGTAAGTATACAGTGGAGAAACCAGACAACATCTTGACTGGTGATCAAAATTACCAGCAGTGAGGGACAGATAGACATCATGTGTCTTCAAATGTGATACCCTAAGGACAGAACATCACTTACACAGGTTTCCAGTGGAGAATGTATTACATCAATCTAATCACATCGAAACAACAAAATGAGGAATGTTCTATTTTTAAAAGAGGAGGTTGGATGGGACTGTGTTCTTCAAAATTGATAATGTCGTAAAAAGAAAGAAAGGCTATGGAAATGTTCTCAATTAAAAGCTAAATATGATATGTGACAAGAAAATATGTGACCCTGGACTGGATTATCTACTGAAGGGGGAAAAATGTTTATAACATAGGCCTTATAACTGAAAAAAATGGAATTTGAATTGACAGATTACATAAAATATTGTATCAATGTAAATTTATAAAGCTGACAACTGTACTGTGGTTATATACGATAATTTCTCTAAGGAAATAAATATACACTGTAGTACTTAAGAGAGAAAAGGCCATGATGTATGTATGCAAATAATAAGGCAAATAGGATAAAATGCTAATAATAGGTGAATCTAGATGAAGGACATATGTGTGTTCTTCAGGCTTTTATTTGTTATTTTTCATATTTGCATCTTTTTGAAATGTTAAAGTTATATCCAAAAGAAATATAAGAAAAATTATGCCTTTGTATTATTAGATCACAATAAGCACCTACATTCCAATTGGGAGTTCTTTCTTAGGACTTCAAGTCACCCACGTCTGCTCTTCAAAGAGTTTGGCACAGTTTTTTTTTTTTTTTAACTTCACCTAAAGTTTTACAAACTCCCTATATGTGCAAGTGAGACTCAGAAGTGGAAAGTGCATTCTTGCCAGGAGAAAGGTAGAAGCCCCAAGAGAGTGAATCTACCTGCTGTGTGTAAAGTTCAAAGCCATAAATATTTTCAGATCTAAGCTCAAGGGGACCTTTACCTGTACTTCTCCATAATTCTTTCACCACAAAATAGGAAAGCAGAGTCAAAAACCATACTGACACAAAATTACTTAGGTAATGTAGATATAGGCCCTATCTCCTGATCTACTAGCTTCAGACCAGATCTTATATATCAAAACTCCTTCCCATGTTGGAGTGCTAAAAGGAAGGGAAAGAAAAAAAAAAAGCACTCATAGCAAATTAACTAACTAAAAGAAATCAATAAGGGGCCTCCCCTGGTGGCGCAGGTGGTTGAATGCCACGCTGTGAAACTGTCCGCAGCTTCTACAGCGCCGGTTTGATCCCTGCCGGCCAGCGAGGGTCCCACATGGCGCGACAGACCTCTCCTGTCTCGCCTGCTGCTCCCCTCAGCAGTGTATTTCAGTCAATCTGCCTGTTCTGTTCCCCGCTCTGTCTCTGGTGAATTCTCTCACCCTCCCACGGATCTGCCCTGTACCCTGGTTCTTGTATAAATAAATAAAATCTTAAAAAAAAAGAAATCAATAAGGTCAGCATCTCATTGTGGTGAATGATGAGAAGACAGAAAATAGATACAGGGACATGAAGACCTACTAATACTGACAGGAAGAACAAAATCATCATATAAGCAATTCCCAAAATTTATAGAGAAAGGAACCTTCAATCCTCAAATAGATGGGCTCAGATATCTATAGAAATGTAGCCTAGGAATGACTTAGACACTCTGTAGTGACAGAACTTTCTCTGGAAAACACCAAAGACCATTCCAGATAACAAAAGTGAATCTTTAGAACTTGAATGCAGAAGAAAAAGCTGGGGCAGAGACACTGCTCAGGGATACCTTGCTTCCCCACCCTTATCCTGGAGAAGCAGAAGGGTCCTGGATATCTATTTGCATTTCTTATTAGTTTATTTGTGTCTATTCTTTATAAATAATTATACAAACTTCTTGAAAAAAGGACTGGGATATAGCATAAAGTTTCTCATATGCTACAAGAACTTAATTTGCCAAGTGTCACCATCAAGGGATTCTGGGCGCTAAGGGAATCTCATTAAAATGGGTTGCATGTACTCCTGGTTTGTGTGGCTATCTTATTTCAGCCAAGTTTCTAGGTCCATGGTTAAACAGGAAATTAACCTAACCTTACGGGTTTGTGTAGGAGAGGTCTCTTTCAACCAATCTATAGTTAATCTGAAATACTGCAGAAAGCTACAACTTAATCATATATGTTATAATATGCATGGGAAAAAGACTGTTAGCAGAAGGATGGTCACAAAGCATCTAAATAGCAGGGATCCAAAGGCAAAATCTTTGCCAAAGCTTATCCAATCCTGCCGAAGGTGGTAAAACATGAGCAGCTACAAGTATCCGGTAGCCATACAAAAGACACTCTATTATGGAGGGCAGAAATAGTTCACTAGGCTCCTCCTAGATGAAACAGACTTCAAAACCAAATTAGGCAAGTCTTCATCATGTAAAGTGGAGACAATCATAGTATCTACCTCACAGGATTATATGAGGACTAAGTGACTAGACATGGGAAAAGGTGCTTAGAATATTGCCTAACACATGGTAAGCATTTAGTAGGCATCAGCTGTTATTTGCCAAGACCAAAGATCACCTTTGACCTGATACTATAGTCAATTAACATCATTCTAACTCTCTATTCTGATTTTTCTGCTACCTTAATAATATCAGAATAGAGGTAACTTGGAAGTGAATTCAAGAATTCTAGTCAAAATTCAGTTTCTGGATCTTTATAATTGAAGACCAGATCATGAAACTGGTACTCAATAGCTCTATATATGGAGACATTTTTGATTGTCACTACAACTGGGATGTTGCTGGACTTTAATGTATGGGGGCTAGGGATGCTGAGATCAGCCCTACCCAACAAAATTGTTTGACAAACACTTCCTAGACTGCAATGAATCCATTAAAGTACTACCTCCATGGAGCCAGCTGAGCCACCTCTGTACTACTTTATCTAAATGCAATTCTCCATATTTATCTACAACTTCATATCTGGTAATTACTGCTATGCATAGAGCGGTCTACCAATTAATCCTGACAGTACATGCCAGCAGAAGAGTCCATACAGTTTCTCAAACTGGGTCACTGATTTAATAAAAAAAATAGTAAGGATACTTCTGAAAACAATAAAAAATAAAATTGGCATTCAATATTTTAGAGAAGGTGAATAGGAAAGTTTCCTCAAGGAAAAGATTGTTTAAGCCCTATGCAAGACCTTATCAGGGAATTGGACTAGCATACTCACATTGGTGAGATCTTCAAAGGCTGATCTCTTTTTGAGGGCTCCATGTGGTGAACGTGGAGATATCTTTGCTTGGTAATTCTCCCCATTCTAAAAAAAAAAAAATAAAATAAAAGAGTTAAGTTAGGAAATCCAATTGTAAAGTCTTTTCAGGGACTTTGAATCATCTTTGGAGCTCAGGGGAAGTGCAAAAATTTCCATGCAACTGAGAACACATATAACAAACACCAATAGATTACAACAAAAGGAAATTTCAGCACTCACTGCTGCTTAAAGAGTCCCTGAAGGAGGTATATCATTGATATTGGGGACAAAACTATGAAGAGACAAGATAACCTTCAGTCTAACTCTCAGAATGAGCAAAATAGGTTGGTGAAGCTAATTTTCCCTCTTATTCCTCTATTTATAGTTATCTTCTCTAAGATTAACCATTACAAACACCACCCTGCCACTCCTTTCATTCCTTTAATACAGATGCTATTGGGTAAATTAGATTAATAATTTAAGTTAAGCATCTCTTATATTAAGTAGTTGATTCAATACATTCACAGTAAGAACAATAACACACATACATAAACACTGTTCCAGAATTAGCTCTTAACATTGAACAAGTCACTTAACTGCTAAGGCTCTATTTTGAGATATAACCTACTTTATTTGAGAATCAAATAAAAGGATACATGCAAAAAAGGTCTGTATAAACTATAAATGGACAGAAATCATATTGGGATATGATTTCCAATAAATCATAGTCCAATATGATTCTGTATGTTAAAGGGAATTTTTGTATTTTAAGAACGGAGTTTGGTAGCCCAAATGAATCCCTACTTGCTAGTGAATACAAAGGAAGGACAAAAGGGAAGGGAAGGAAATGCCTTGGAGCAAGGGCCATTTCTTTCTAGGTATTGTATATCTGTACATCTTACCCCACTCCCAAATGTGTAAGACCATCTCTGTGTGGCTAGAGGTTAAGGTAATTCACACTACAGGGCTCTTCTACTCCCTGACGGTTTTTATTTGGTGGAAGTCTCCTAAGCATCAGATTTCTTTGATGAAATGAGAACAAACCCTGCCCTGCCCATATCGGAGACTTGTTATGTGAAGCAAAGCACTGAGGTTAGAGCATTTATTTGTTCCATCCTCCATCTATACCCTGGAACAGTTAACCCTGGACATAGTAGTGATAAGACATTTAGAGAATTGGATTTATAATACAATAAACCAATCTAGCACAGTAGAGCAATCCTGAAAGAGCTGGGAAGAATTAATTCTATTTTCTAATGGATGAAGCTTAGAAACAAGTAAACTATGAGTCTTTTAGCTACTGGGTTGTCGGAAAAGTCAGGACATTTTTTTTTCTGTTTTTCAAGTGAAAATGCATCATGACTTGTTTGACAACCCAATAGTTTGTGATAAATAATCCTATTGGAAATAATTAGCAAAAATTGAGTATTACTTTCTCACAAATTGGCTAAGAAATTAACTGTTGGTCTATTATCCAATTTTTACTTGATATCACTGGTAGAAATAACCAGTCCCAAATAAAATTAACAGATAAAACTAAACTCAATAAAATTTAGGTTTGTAAAATACGCCCCCAAGGAAGCTAGATTTGGAAAAATAACTGCCACAAGAGAAAACTTTCAATGGCAGGACGCTAATCAGATAATTTAATATGGACAAAAATCTGATGAATGTATCAAATTTTTCGCTCCAGATTTACACAGGAAGAAAACATTTGACCCCTCAATGAAAATCATTTGAGTAAAACAAAAATGAAAATGATTAGAAAATTTTTATCTGTGCCGAGAGAAAACCACTCAAGGAAATTAAATTGGCTTAATGATGTTTGTTCCAGGAAATACTCTCCTAATGATAATTCATTCATTAGTGTTTGTAAAATTATAATTAAAATATGTATGATGACAAACAGAACATCCCAGAGTGAGGATGACAATGTCAAACTAACCACAAGGTCATAACAACAGAGTCAAAATGTACCAAATCTTCAAATTTAACTGCTATAAAAAGTATAATACATTTGTTTACCTAATCTTCAAACTCTTCCCAGGTTGCAGTAAGCAGCCTTCTGGCAAGGTGCTTTGAGCATCTCAGAGAAAGTTAGAGTATAGATGTGAGCAGTAATAGGAGTTGAGTGAGTTGCCTCTGAAGGTTGTGAAGAATGGCCTTAATTTCTGTCATGCACCATGGGAAAGAAGGGGTGTTAGGATGTCACCCCGTCCCACTTTCTCAGATTAAACCACAAATGGTCCATAAGATTTATAGCAGCTACTCGAGACACTGTAGGGAGAGACTGCTTATTCTAACCTTTTCAGTGTGGCCATGATCACTGGGCCTAATTTTGGTAGACTGAGATTTCTTAGTCTCAGATTTGGTGCTTCGGGGTGGTAGTGGCAACGGCATCTCTTACAGATCCAGCAGTGTCTCTCCAAGGCAAGGCTGCAATCAGAAAGGTATTCTTTAAAACACTATTCACCAGAAACATCAGAGAATTTTCTGGAAACTTCAGAAAAACCCAGTCTTTCCATAGCATCCCTAGAAGAAAAAAGACTTTGAGTTAGGCAGATCTTGGTTCACATCTTGGTTCTACCACAATTTACCTTGGCAAGTGACTTAAACTCAGTTATCTCATCTGTAAAATAGAGATAAGCACACCTACCTGTGAAGGACATTCTTCAAATTAAATGAGATACATTATGTAGAAAGCCTAGACCCTTGCCTGCAATTCTCTGTGGGCACTGGAACTGTGGCCTAGTCCCTAGGTTAGACCTAGAAATACAGAGGACGAATTACATGAATTCATTAACCTGAACATTAATCACTTGCTTTAGGAAACACGCTGATTTAAGTAACTAATTCCCCTGCCACTAGGAGGGGAAAGGGGATTGACACCACCAAAGCCATGCTTTTCATAAAAAGACTCTGTGCAGAACACTCACTTTCTACCACCTCCAGAACCCTGAATCTCACTTAGACTAGAAAATTAGAATCCTTTCTGGTTTACAGACTTTTCACTGATACAATTTGGTAAGTGTCAGAGATCCCACTGGGCATCCAAGAACTGGTGCTGAAACCCATAGAGGGGTGAGTTGGCTCAAATTCCAAAACTGTAGCTCAAGACAGTCTAGAGGGAACTGTAGCAACTTCAATTTACATATATAAAGGCAGGTTACAGACAGCAAAACCCTGGGGTGAGAAGGCAGCATGGTGTCAATGAAAGCACCACTGATGTGGGAAGGATGCCTGAGGTCTAGCTCTGGCCCTGCCCCTAGCTAGCTGGGGGACACTAAGTAAGTCCCTTTGCCTTTGCTAGGCCTCCTTTCCCCACCAATAAAATGAGGCAATGGGACCAGAGCTTCCAGGCTATTCAAACTGTGATCAGTGTGATCAACATTAGCATCAGCTGGGAAACTGTCAGCAAATTAGAACCTCAAGGCCCCAAGCTAGGCCTATCAAATCAGAACTGCAAGTTAACAATATGCCCAGGTGATTCACATGCACTTTAAGTTTAAGAAGCACTGTTCTAGGGTCCCCTCCACCTATGACATGGTAGGATTCTCTGACGACCATAACAGATAACAGTGGGAAAGTCAGAGCTGTAGGAGTTGGAAGTGGGGACAGAAGGGCGAGTGGAGACAAAAGATAACAAGGGAGACAGTGCAACACATTTCCATCCTCCTTCATATTTCTTATGGAAGGATTCCGTAGAAATCCTTCAAACAGCAATCCTGTGAAATTATGCAGGATAAATGTCATCCACTTGTAAAAGACGTTTTGTAAACGTACTCTGATTCGGGGATGTGCACCGGTTGCTCCATCCAAAAGCTGGTATCCAGTCCCCTTTGCTTTGCCATCTCACCCTCTAACACACACTGCCTGCCCAACCTCGTACAGGGCTCACTGCGCAGACTAATGGCTGACAGAGTGAAACAAGACGCCCTGCGCCCTGGCAAGGAAAGACAGGCGGTTTGTTACCTGGGCTGGTGTGACGCCCAAGGACTGACCAACGTGGGACAGAGCCGGACATTCAAAGGGGCGGTACAAGCCCAAAGTAGCCTACCTCAGATTGAGAGCAGAACAGGGAAGACCATGGATGCACTCCTAGACCAAGAGAGGCCCGGGAAATGACCGGAGTTACATGTCGTAGCGACCGTGTCTGTCTCAACCTGCTCTGCGCTCCGTCTTATTCGCACACTAGAGAATTTTTGAAAAGTACAGCCCCAGGAGGAAGTCAGTGATGATTGGCTGGCAGGAGCCAATCAGCGTGCACAGCTGCTGCGAGGGCTTGCCCAGCAAGGAGGGGCGGGCTGAGTATTTTGAAATTGCACACTGCAGCTAATGAGCTTCCCTTCGGGGTGTGGTTTTCAGTACAATTGGTTGGCTGAGGCTGGGTTGACAAGCTGACGAGCTGACCACGGGCTGGGTCTCTTAAAGACGCGTTTTCGTTTAAATAATCCTGCTGGAGGATGGGGAGAGTGACTCTATAAAGTGGGTATAGACCAATTAAAATATTAATATTAATAACACGTTGTAGAGGCAAACGATAACTACGCGGGCATCACAAACGGCCTAGTGAGGAAAGGGCAGAAATTATTGCCCCTATTTTATGGATAAGCACATGAAGTGCAGAGTTGATAGTATCTAATATTAATCCAGCACTGCCTCTGTACTAGTCGCTATAATTTCTTTTGCTGGAAATCTTGTCTAGACAGGTACTTTTATTATTGCCATTTTAAATATAACAAAACTGTAGCTTGCTAGTTGCCTGACATCATAAAGCTGCTATTCTCATTCATTTAACTCATACATTAATTCATTTATTCAACAAGTATTAACTGAGTATGTCTACTTTGTTTTATGAACTAAATTTTGTATACATATATAGAGAGAATTGACAAAGATTTGAAGAATTTACACACACACACACACACACACACACACACATAATTGACAAAGATTTGAAGAATTTATAGCCCTGTCCTGTCCTCTGAGGATGCAAAGAGAAAATGGAGGCACCAGGGATAAAATCTAGAACTTTTTGCAAATATAGCACTGAACTACAGCCCTACCTTTATTATCAGCTCCTTCTCCCTTTAATATCACATAGCTTCTACATTAAAGGTAAAATAATCACACATAATCCCAGGCCCTCTCTTTTTTTTCATCCAGGTTCATGACTTTAAATATCATGTCAAAGCTGACCCTGAACTCCAGATTCATAAATCCAACCAACTACTCCACATCTTCACTCCAGTGTCTAATAGACATCTCGAACTTAACATATTCACAAACCTATCCTTCCTCCACTGTCTCCCATTTCCGAAATTGGTACCACATCAAACCAGTTACTCAAGCCATAAATCTGGGTATCATTCTTGATTGAAATTCTTTTCAATCACGTTACCCTCCCTTATCCTTCAGCAAGTCCTGTGGATTCTACCTTAAAAAATAATGTATACCCATTCACTTCTCTCCATCTCCACTGCCACCATAGTCTCTTGTTTGGACCACTGTAAAGAGCCTCCAAGCTGCTTTTGCCCTTTAAGATCTTGCCCTTTTGAGGGAGCCTCCCTGGTGGCTCAAGGGGTTAACAGGCAACCTATGAAATGATCCACAGCCACTGCAGCACAAGTTCGATACCCGGCTGGCCAGGGAGCAACACACATGGCGCAGCAGACCTCTCCTGACTGGGCCGCTGCTCCCCTCAGCAGTGTACTTTGGTCAATCCACCTGTTCTGTCCCCGACTCTGTCTCTGGTGAATCCTATCACCCCCCACACCTCTGGCCTGTACCACAGTTCTTGTATGCATAGATAAGTAAATCTTAAAAAAATCTTGCCCTTTTCGAATGCAAACAATAAGGAGTTTTGTTTTTTTTTTTTTTTTACCTCAGCTTTTTACAGATAGAATTGATGTAACATTGTATGAGTTTAAGGTGTACAACAAAATGATTTTACATGAGCCTCCCTGCAGGCCTAGGGGTTAAGTGTCTTTGCTCTCACTGCTGTGGCCTGAGTTTGATCCACGACCAGGGAGCTCATCCACATAGCATGGCAGACCTCTTGTACGCTGCTCCCCTTAGCAGTGTATTGCCATTTTAAATATAGTCCACCTGTTCTGCTTCCCCGCTCTGTCTCTGCTGAATCCTCTCATCCCCCGCACCCCTGGCCTATACCCTGTCTTATACGCAAAAGAAAAATTTAAATATAAATAAATAAATGAAACTTTTATGGAAGTAATATTGGTTTATAACATCATATAAGTTTTAGGAGTACAGCATTCACACTTTGACATCTACATATACCACATTATAATCACCACCAAAAGCCTAATTTCAATCTTTCTTAAGTGGTTTCTTAAACCACTGCTTCAATGGTTTCCTAGAGAACTTAAAATCCAAACTACTCCAGTCTACAAGATCTTATCTATCTAATTGACTTTGTTTCACACCACTCACTCTCTTTCACTCCATTCCAGTCTTCAGAGCATTTAAGATCCCTCTCCTTGGGATCTTCACACATAATGCTTCCACTGTCTGGAACATTATTCTCACCATTTTTTAAATTACTTGCTCTTTTTTTTAATCATGCTTCAAGTCTCAGCTTAAATGTCCCCTCTTCAGAGAGGCCTTTCCCTGACCAACAGTGTTGTCTAAAGTGGGGTTCTCCTCCTACTCCCGAAAATACTCTCAGTCCCTTATATTTCTTTTTTTTTTAATAGAGGCATGTTTTTATTTATTTATTTGTTTGTTTGTTTGTTTATACATGCACTGGGTACAGTCAGAAGCGTGGGAGGGTGAGAGAATTCACCAGAGCCAGAGCGGGGAGCAGAGCAGGCAGAAGGACCGAAGTACACTGCTGAGGGGAGCAGCGGGCGGCAGGAGAGGTCTGCGCGCCATGTGGGACCCTCCTCCATTGGCCGGGGAGCAGCCGGGGATCGAACTGGCGCCGCAGAGGCCTCGGGCAGCTTCACAACCCAGCGCTCAACCACTGCACCACCGGGGAGGCCCTGTCCCTTATATTTCTTAAAGAGTATTAGTTTTTAATTTTTTTAACTACCTCCTGACTCAAGAATACAAAGTCCAAAACTGCAAGGACCAAGTCCATCATGCTCTAGTTCCAGTGATTTGCATTAATTATAGTTCACATTTACCATTTCCTTACTATATGTTTCACATTGTTCTAACACAACAATACTATGAGGTGTTAATATCCCCATTTTGCAGAGGAGAAAGTATAGTGACATCCCAAGATAACACAGCTAGTAAGTTACTGGACTGAGAGTCAAACCCAAGCAGTCTGATTCCAGAGACCAAACACATAAGCATTAACCCACACCTGTCTCCTTGACAGAAAATTAAAAAAAAATATTTATTTTTAACTAAGTAAATGAGTATCTTCCTTTAAGGGTAATTGCTGTGAACAAGTGTCTGCACTATAAAGGAAATATAGTATTGACACAAGTCACTATAGGTCTTTATTTTAGTCAAGGAGGCGTAAGTCCAAAACAACAGCAACACAAAAATCACAAAACAATTTCATTTTTCTTATTTCTTTCCAGCATTTCACAAAACAAAAGTTATTTAGTAAACAGCTATAATCCCCCCCCAAAATTTAAATGTGTTTTTTCTCATTTTTAACACCTCCATTTGACTTACCCTTTCCTTTGGGTAGCATATAGAGAGATCTCTAAGAAAAGAGGAGACATCTCTCTGATTGTCCAATACTTTTGTCCAATACCATTGTCCAATGCTTTCTTCCTCCCAGGCGTACAGCATTCTCATACTCGCCTTTCTCCTCCCCATACTACATCCCTGCATGAAAATCTGATAGAAAAGATCTGCTATCATCTCACATTTACCTGAAAATATATTCATTGTGGATACAAGGCTTAATTTTGAAAATAAAATCATGGAAATACTAGGCAAAATATGAAAGAATATTTTTATAATCTTACAGAAGGAAAAACAATTCTAAACAGGTCCAAAAAATCTAGAGACAGCATAAGGCCCTATAAATTTTAGTAGCTAAATTTAAATTTCATTTAGCAAACAGAAAACCAAAACAAGGTTAAAAATCCTTAGAACAAACTGACAAAAAAACATTGGCAACATAACTGCAAGAGACATGTTTTCCAAAATGCAAAAGCAAACTTTATGATAAACAAAAAAACAAGAAAAATATGAACTATTCATCAAAAAATGACAAAAAATGAACAAATCATTAGAGAAGAAGTATAAATGGTTAATAAGTATGAAAAGATGCTCAATCTCACTAAAAGCAAATGCAGGTTAAAACAGTAATGCATTGTTTTTGTTCAGGACATTAGAAGTTTATTGTTAACAGATTAAGAACACCTTCTGGGTAAACAGGCACTTCTATTCATTGTTTGGCAGTAAAAATTGCCACTAACTCTGAGACGGTTATTTGAAAATACCTATGGGATTTTAAACATTTGGACTCTTTTACTCAGAGATTCTACTTCTGGTCATCTTTCCTACAAAAATAATTATTCTAAAAAATAAGGCTGAAATTTCCCCCAAATTTGAGAGAGACATAAACCAACAAGTTTCAAGAAGCAAAGCAAACCTTTAACAGGATAAACCCAAAGAAATTCAAATAAAGTCATATCATAATTAAACTTCTGAAAACTAAACACAAAGAAAAAACCTTGAGAGCAGCAAAAGAGAATGACACCTTTCCAATACAGTAAATTATTTTTGAATGACAACGGATTTCTCATCAGAAACCATGCAAACCAGGAGGTGACAAATTGTCAACTAAGGATCCTATATCCAAGGAAAAGATCCTTCAGAAGTGAAGGGGAAATTAAGTCATTCTCATCTGTTGACTCTACCAGAATAGAAAGTTCACAAAATAAAAAAGGAAATGAAGGAACATTGTAACATCAAGAAGAAAGAATAGTAGAAAGAGAAAAAGTATAGGTAAATACAATAAATTTTCCTTCTGATGCTGTTTTCTCAATTATGTTTGACAGTTATAGCAAACGTTTTTACCCTGTTGGATGTAGTTCTCAATGTCTGTAGAAGAAATGTTTAAAACAATAAAACAGATGAAGAAGGGTAAAGGAAGGAAAGATATTTACACCTTCCTAAAGCTGGTAAAATGTTAACTCCAGTAGACTGTGATAAATTATGTACGTATAATGTAACACCTCAAATATGCCCTAAAAATACTATACAAGGAGATATACTCAAAAACACTACAGGAAAATTAAAATGAAACTCAAAAGAATGTTCATGTAACTGACTTGAAGGCAGAAAAAGACATAAATGAGTAACAGATGATGATCAGAAAACAAAAATAGTGAACTTAAATCCTAACATACCAATTAATTATCACATTAAATGTAAATTATTTAAGTACAGAAATTAAAAGACAGAGATTGGTCGAGGAATTAAAAACATGACCAAAGGATATGCTGTCACAAGAAACCTACTTCAAGTATAATGATATAGGTAGTTTAAAAAAATAAAGTGGAAACCATACATACATACACTGATTTTTAAAAAGCAGAAGTACCAATATTAACACCAAATAAAGTTAACATCACAGCACAGCAAATTACCAGGGATAGAGAGGTTATATAATGATAAAATAGGCTTAAATCACCAAGAAGAAATGTGTTATACACCAACCAACAGAGCTGCAAAATACATGAAGCAAAATCTCAAAGAACTGAAAAGAGAAATAGACAAATCTGTATTTATAGTTGAACACTTCAGTTTCTCATCTCAATAACTGATAGAACAAGTAGATAAAAAGTCAGCAAGCATACAGAAGAACTCAACAATATCATCAAGACATTTTTAAGGCACCCCATCCAATGACAGCAGAATACACACTCCTTTCAAACTCCCATGGGACATTCACCAAAATAGACCATACTTCAATCTTAAAACAAACCTCAGTAAATAAAAAAGGATTGAAATAATAACTAACTGAGTATGTTCTCTGACCACAATGTGATCAATAACAAAAATAACTGGAATATCTTAAAGGTTTGGAAACTAAACGATATACCTCATGGATGAAAGAGAAGACTTAACACAAATCAAAATATACATTGATGTGAATGAGAATGAAAATACAGTATTTCAAAATGAGTAGGACATAGCTAAAGCAGTGCTGAAAGGGAAATGTATAGCACTAACTGCTTATGACTATATAAAAAAGGAAGAAAAGTCTAAAAGCCAGTAATCTAAACTCCATCTCCAAAAAAGAGCAAAATAAATCCAAAGCAGGCATAAAGTAGGAGGTGATAAAGATAAAAGCAAGAACTGATAAAATTGAAAACAGAAAAACCATTAGTGAAAATCAATGAAACAAAAAGTTGGGTACCTTGAAAACATCAATTAAATTGAGAAACCACTAGCAAAACTGATAAAGAAAAAAGACACAAATTAGCACTATCAGAAATAAAACAGTATATCACTACAAACTCTACTGACATCAAAAGGATAAGGGAATACTATTAACTATACATTTGACAATTTAATGGAAATGAACAAATTCCTTGGCTATCACAAAATACCACAATACATCCAATATGAAATGTATCATCGAATGGTTCCATGTTTTTAAAGAAATTCAATTTGTAATCTTTAAATTAAAAAAGTTTTCAGGCCCAGATGATTTCACTGAAGAATTAAACCAAATATCTAAAGAATAATTAGCACCAATTTTACATCATCTCTTCCAAAAAAACAGAAGAGGGTACATGTCTCAACGCATATAAAAACATTATTACCATTAACATCACAACCACCCAAAGACAGTACAAAAAATAAAACTACAGATCAGTATCCCTCACTAAAATAGATGCAAAATCAATAGCAAGATATTAGCAAACAGAATTTAGCAATACATAAATATTATATACTGTTTATTCCAGGGATGCAAGGCAGGTTCAAAAAATTAATGCACGTACCCTACCATAGCAATAGGCTGTCATTCACCAAATAAAAAGGAAAGAAAATTATTAGAGCTAATAAACAACTTCAAGGTTACAGGGTACAAAATTGATTTACAAAAATCAATTTTACTTCTACACACTTGTAAGGGACAATCTAAAAATGAGATTAAAGAAATAATTCTGGGCCTCCCCTGGTGGCACAGTGGTTGAGCGTTGGGCTACTAAGCTGCCCGCAGCCTCTGCAGCACGGGTTTGATCCCCGGCTGCTGGTGAGGGTCCCACATGGTGCACAGACCTCTCCTGCTACACCCACTGCTCCCCTCAGCAGTGTGTTTCGTCGGTCTGCCTGTTCTGTTCCCCGCTCTGGATCTGGTGAATTCTCTCACCCTCCCGCACTTCTGACTGTACCCAGTGCTTGTATAAAATAAATAAATCTTTAAAAAAAAAAAGAAAAGTAAGAATTCCACTTACAATAGCATAAAAAAGAATAAAATACTTGGAAATAAATTTAACCAAAAAAGTATAAGACCTATACACTAAAAACCACGAAACATCATTGAGAGAAATTAATGACCTAAATAAATGTAAAGACATCCCACGTTCATCAATTGGAACACTTAATATTTTTTATGGAGTTTTTTTTTAAGATTTTATTTATTCATGCATACAAGAACCGGGGTACAGGCCAGAGGCACAGGAGGGCGAGAGGATTCACCAGAGACAAAGTGGGGAACAGGCAGATTGACTGAAATACACCGCTGAGGGGAGCAGTGGGGCGAGCCAGGAGAGGTCTGCTGAGCCATGTGGGATTCTCGAAGGCCCGGATCAAACTCCCGCTGCAGAGGCTGCAGACAGCTTCACAGCACTGCGCTGAACCGCCTGTGCCACCAGGGGAGGCCCGGAACACTTAATATTGTTAAGATGGCAATCCTTCCCAAATTCATCTATAGCCATCTATACAATCCCTGTCAAAATCTGTGTAGAAAAGTGTTACACAACAGGTCTGAGAATGCTATCATTTGAAAATTCTGCTAGCAAGGTTGGCTGTTGGCCAGGATGTGGGGATTTGGGGAAGGTTCCCACCACCCTAATTAATAAGAGTAGCTCACTGTACCTTAAGTGTTTGTATAAAACATATGGTTTAAGGAAAAATGCCAGTTTTTTCCCCCAAGAACACTGGAGCTTTGGTACGTGCTAGGCAGAGGGTACCTGCATGCCCAGCGGGCAATAGAAACCCTGGACAGTGAGGGGCCTCCCTCGTGGCGCAGCGGTTGAGCGCTGGGTTGAGAGGCTGCCTGCAGCCTCTGCAGCTCCGGTTCGATCCCCGGCCGCCAGGTGAGGGTCCACATGGCCCGCAGACCTCTCCTGCTGCCCGCTGCTCCCCTCAGCAGTGTACTTTGGTCCCTCTGCCTGTTCTGCTCCCTGTTCTGGCTCTGGTGACTTCCCTCACCCTCCTGCACTTCTGACTGTACCCAATGCTTGTATAAATAAATAAATAAATCTTTTAAAAATAAATAAATCCATTTAAAAATAAAAAAGAAACCTTTGACAGCGAGTCTCTAATGAGCTTCCCTTTACTGGGAAAAGTCATGCTAAGTGAAAGAAGTTGGTCACAAAAGACCACTCATTGTATGATTCCATTTATATTAAATGTCCAGAATAGCCAACTCTACATAGACAGAAAGTAGATTAGTGGTTGCCTAAGGCTAGGGAGGTATAAAAGTGGGGGAGCTGGGGTGTAATGGCTAAAAGGTATGCAGTTTCTTTTGGAGGGGATGAAAATGTTCTAAAATGAAAATGTTCAAAAATCCATTACAGTGCTGATATTTGTACAGTTCTCTTAATACACTGAAATAATTGAATTGTACACTTTAAATGGAAGAATTATATGGCATTTGAATTAATTTCAATACAGCTGTTATAAAAATAATAGTAGCTAATAAAATATAGTTTCCTTAAAAAAATTCTGTTAAAGGGTGGCAAGGGAACATTCAGTAAAACCCGGTTTAATTAGGAAGTTATTGCTAAAAGTCAGGCAGTTTGGACCAGGGTGACCCAATATTCGTGGTCACGGCCAACCACTTCTATATGGTTCTGAGAATAGCAGTTCTTGAACAACCATTATCACAATTTTCTTTTTAATAATTGAGATACAATTATATAGCTCTATAATATATAACACTATATTCGTTTTACGTGCACACATTAAGTTACAATTATATAAACACATATAAACCCAGCACTATCCCTTGCAGAGTTAAGTGAAAATGAATAAAACATAGTCATTCTCCTCAAACATTTCTGGTATTTGGGAAAATAAAGTTCATACCGAAACACCTACAAAGAAGGTAGAACTTGGAAAGTGCCAAAGAACGCAAATATAAAACCTAGGAGTTTAGAGGACACAAGCTGTTGAGCACCCCAGGGGCGAACACAATCACTACAGTCACAACCACCCGACCAGCCGAGCCACTGAGCGCAGCCGCTGTGGGCTTCCTCGCAGAGCTGCGCAAGCACCGCTTTCCGGCACACGTCTTTATAATGGGGCTGTTCAGGAAACGAACCCAGAAATACACACCCGAATGCCGATGCAAGGATGGGGGGGGGGCAAGCCTCTGAGGGAGGAACGGCCAGTTTCCCTCTACTTTTGAGGAACGCCTCCACACAGGGCGCCGCCCCGACCCTGTGAACCGCGGCTTCCTCAGGCGGTCGCGCCCTCCCGGTGGCCACGTGAGCGCCTCATCCCCATTTAGCACCTCACTTGAGGGAAGAGGCTCAGTAGGACCAAGTCTGCCATTCCCGCGAGGAAACTACATGATAAAGCTAAAAACTGGGTGGTCTTCACCCCATTTTATGGTCCCTAAAAGGGAGGTTCCTTCAGGGTGGCTGGGGGAGGGCACCGAGGGAACGTGACAGACTTCGCGCTCTCACACCCCCTGCCTCTCCTCCAAGGTCTTCCTTTCAGTCAGTCACTGATACACTCTCTGAGTAAGTGATAAAAACTGTCGCCAACTAAAAGTATACTTAAAGGCTTTTTGTCAGCTGTTCCACACAAGTTTGTTGGTTTGACAGGGGAAAAATAAAACAAAAACAAAAACCAACTAACAGCCTTTCCCTCAGTCCCATCCCAGCCCTGGCCCTGGATCTAGTCACATAAAGGAAAGGCTCTTTGAGGATCTAGGAAAATAAGGTGCGGCTATAACCAGCCACACAGAGCTCAGAACAAAGGCCAAGCAGTCCGCAGGAACTCGCCACGGATCGGAAAAGGAAACCAGACTAGACAAGACAGAGCAAAACTAAGCAAACCAAACAAAAAGGAAGGACACGAAACGAAGCATGGATGATGGGAGAGGGAGAGAAAACTGACCGCCTCAGGGAAATCGCCGCCAGCAAATAGCGCCTCAGGCAGTGCGGGTGAGGAGACCAGACCGACCACACCATTCTCACCAGCAGGGGGAGATAGGAGTCGGCACTTGGTTCAGTCAGACTTAAAACCACCAGGTGGGGCCAAAAGATAGCAAAAGGGTACCCCTTATACTTTTCCTTTTCTTGGGGAACTTGTATTCTGCATCTTCAGTCCAAAGAAGGAAGAAAGGCGTACTCGTCTCTACACACACATACTTACACCCACCTCCAAGAAGATGGAAGTGGCTGGTGCCAGACCTTGACTAGCAGTCAAAATGGCTTCCCCTCTGCTAGCTACCCTTTGACAAGTTTGTGGGTTAAAGTAGTGTCCATTTCATAGGTCTGTGAGAATTAAATGAGATGATGGGTGTAAAACAGTACCAGCAAAATTTCAAGCCCCACTCCAAACCTGCAGAATGGTATGCAACCCAACTATCTCTTTCATCTAGCTTTCTAGGCGATTCTAAGGCTAGCTAATGTGGGAGAATTATCGCTTGCTCTAAAATGTCTGCCCATTTAAATCACTGACCAAGTTTTTCATCATGATTACAGATTCCATGACTGTGATTCTTGAACTGCAGTTCATAATTCCATGAATTGTGTTTCCTACCTGAAATGTCAAAACCATAATTTGTGTCTTGAGCTCATTTGTGCGCCCGGTATTGTGAATACAAAACAAAACAAAACAAGAAGCTGCCCCCATAAACTTTCAATGTAGATAATCCACGAATAGGAAAACTTAATAACTCTGTAAGGCCAGATCTAGTAAATGTCAGGTGAATTATAAAGACAACCAACAGATGTTCTGGAAAATCAGAAGAGAGAAATTCCAGGACTTTAAGTGGGGGAGAAGAGCCTGAGCAGAATTGGCCGCTGCCGAGCCAAGTCCACCCCTCAAAAATAGTTAAAAGCCATTCTCTGCAAGGCAAGAGTACTGTGAAAGTAAGCTCCTGCCTAACAGGCACTCCCAACAATTCAGCTGTACTCTGAAATTTAAAAAATGGGAAGGTTTATAGCTGTGAAAAGTCCTTATAGCCTCTGCTTCGATCAGTTATGGGAAAAGGCAAACAGATACGAACAATACAGACATAACATAAATACTTGACAGAAGTAATTATGCAGCACCATAACTGAGATATTCAAAAGAGCTATCGAATTTTTCACCGTAGTATGGTTGTGTGAAGTTGCTCTAAATGACATTGTGGATTCTCATGGCTGGAAAACAATTCAGGGGGAAAGAAGTGATTTTATTGCTCCACAGTAAATGATGTCTGATAATCATTGGCATCACTGCCCATTTTCCAAGTGGTCACAATGTCATCACACAAACTAAATTAGGCAGCTAAATCTGAGACTAGAAGACCGCTAGTGGGGCTAACAGGCAGACAGTCATCTCATGAAGTTCATTTAAACTTCATTTTTGCCATTATTCGTAATAATTATGTTACAGACAGAGGTCCCATTTATCTTAGTCGCTCTTTCAAGCCAAATAGAAGCTGAAGGCATATTTAAAGAGGTGATCTTATAATTATTCAGAAGTTTGTGTGGATGAGATGTTTGGGTAGAATAAATGAGGCTAGAAAATGAATGATGGTATTTAGGGGGGAAATGATGACCAAAGCTTCTGTGTTTAACATCTTTATGTTTGACTTTTAAAAGCTAACCTCAGTGTATACTACTTCACACTTGTTAACTCAGTAAGTGGCATTCCTTCTTTTGACAATTTGAACTTCCCTCCCCCCACCCATGCATCCCCACCTCTACCCAGTAGAAGCCAGTTTGAGAATGTCAGGAGCTTAAGAGAAAGAAGAGGGGAATACACTGTAACCTACACCTGAGCCTCCTTACATTTTTGTTAGTGGTTCCCGCTCCAAATACTGCTCTAGTTTACTCCTGGTTAGCCTCCAGGATGACAAGATTGGGTTGCCAGGGGACAGGGCTCCAAACATCCATTACAGTTGTCTCTTTGTAATTTAGGGAATTTGGTAAAACATTTTCCAGGCCTAGATCACAGTTGTTCCTTTCTGGGCTGGGAGACGTAGGGATTTCTAATCTGTTTTGTTTTGTTTTAATATTAGGGATATAATATACATTCTTGTGCTTGGAGGATAAACATTTTCTTTATTTGCTTCTTATTTCACAGACAAGAGCCAGACACAGGAGTTCTAACTTTTCCTTTAAATTAAAAGAGCCCGTTGACAAAAGGGTTGTATAGGAAAAACAGGCCCTATACTGTGAGTTTTAGATTGTTACTGTAGGGTAAGGAAAAATGTCAGGCTTTTCTGCCCTCCCACCATCAGGATAGATGATGGATCCTTGCGGTCCTGAATGCATGCCTGATGGCGGACACCTGGAGTAGGGTGTGGGCATAGATAGATGGGATTCACCTGGGCTAAGACTGGGCTTTTAAGGGTGGCATCACGGGGACACCAGAAGAAGCTGAAAGAGAAGCCTAGAGAGAAGCAGAAGCAGAGATCACCGGAGAGCCCAGATAGAGTGAGGATTTGCTGGGGACTGGGAGGCCTGCCAGCCTCCCAGCACCCCTGCCTGCTGTGTACCGGGTAAATCCCAATAAAAGATCTGCAAAAACCACTAAGGTCTCTGACTCCTCCTTCACCCGGTCTGCATGGGATCAGAAAACCTGCTCAGTGGTCATTCCTGCCTCTACAATTGGCATAAGTCGGCAAGATGATCCATGCAGATGGGTATTGGAGCCCTCCAAACACCTGGAGGGACTAAGGCATAACAGACTGTGTTTGCCTTTGACAACGGTGGAGGCGCCATGGCGGCACAGAAGGTGGACACACCGTCCGGGAGCTGGAGCTACGGGACAAGACCTCAGCTGGAGGAGGACACGCCCGAGAGGACCAGCCAAAGACCCATGAGGCAGCAAGAATCGTCGGGAAGAGAGGGCCACGATTCGGAGCTCGCCGGTGCTGATGGCAGGGAGAGGCCTAATGGACTTGGACTGATGGACTTGGACGGACAATCCCGCTAGAAGGCGGAGGACCTTGGCAGGTTATGTCTTTTGGGAATCTGGGGGTGGCCAGTGGGATGGCCAAAAGCAGCCTGTGTATACCCAGCAGCTAGGTGGAGGAGAAAAGCCAACTGAGAAGGCAAAAGCTGGTGCTGATGCTAAGTTGAGAAGCCCTGAGTGGCTGTTAAGCAGCCTGAGTATGCTGAAGACCTGTGAGTCTCGTAAAATCACCTGTGGGTGATGCCCTGCTCATTCTTGAGTGAGGGTGAGGAGCTGAGGAACCCGTCCTTGGGGGACGGGTGGGAAACGTGGCTTGGGGTGGAGCCTAAGCCGCATGTAGAGTTTGGATCCCCAACCCATGTGCTTGTGCAGTGGGTTGGCCTGAGTGCAGGGGTCTGCGAGTCGCATGGGTGGCTATGAAGGCCGAATGTTGGAGCGACACAGACAGAAACCCTGAGGGTTGGCGATTACCCCCAACAGTATAGAATCGCCAGTCCCAGAGTGAGTGCATCCTGGGGGTGGATGCGGTGTGTGGCTTGTAACCGAGACTACAGCCACAGAAGGCCAGGAAGCCTGACGGCTCCTGGTGTGTTACAGCAGATGCCGTGAATGGTTCCCCTCCCTCGTATGAGCAGTGCCTTCGGCAGCAGATGTAGTAGCTCATCTGCTGGTACCAATAATTATCTTTTGCCACTAGGTTGGTCCCCTGCCTGGACTTATTTGTGTGCTGTTGTATTTTGTTGTTATATTGTGATATATTTGCTTTTGTGGGCCATGGCTGCATTGTTTAAGTTTGCTAAGAAAATTGTATATATGTAGATTATATGGCAGAAAACCCTGAGGGGGTGGACTGTAGGGTAAGGAAAAATGTCAGGCTTTTCTGCCCTCCCGCCATCAGGATAGATGATGGATCCTTGTGGTCCTGAATGCATGCCTGATGGCGGACACCTGGAGTAGGGTGTGGGCATAGGTAGATGGGATTCACCTGGGCCAAGACTGGGCTTTTAAGGGCGGCGTCACTGGGACGCCAGAAGAAACCCAAAGAGAAGCAGAAATCACCGGAGAGCCCAGATAGAGTAAGGATTGGCTGGGAGGACTGCCAGCCTCCCAGCACCTCTGCCTGCTGTGTACAGGGTAAATCCCAATAAAAGACCTGCAAAAACCACTAAGGACTCTGACTCTTCCTTCACCCGGTCTGCATGGGATCAGAAAACCTGCTCAGTGGTCATTTCTGCCTCTGCAGTTACCACTGACAATGACTATTTCTTCACCAAAATTAATAAAAAATGTATATATTTAGGGTATAAAAATGATGATTTGATGTACCAGTGTAAGGGCAGAAGGCCACTGAACAGGTTTTCCAATCCAGCAGATCAGGTAAAGGAGGAGTCCTGGAGCCCTTGGTGGCTTTTGCAGGCTTTTATTGGGATTTACCAGGTACATGGCAGGCAGGGGTGCTGGGAGGCCAAGAGGCTGGCAGGCCTCCTAGCCCCCAGCAAGTCTTCACTCTGTCTGGTCTCTCCGGCATTCTCTGGTGGTTTGGCTTCTCGGCTTCTACGCTTCTACTGGTTCTCTGCCTCTACTGGTTCTCTTCTGGTGGCGTCCCTGTGACGCTGCCCTTAAAAGCCCAGTCTTAGCCCAGGTGAATCCCATCTACATATGCCCACACCCTAAACCAGGTGCCTACCATCAGGCATGAATACAGGACCGCAGGGTTCAGTCACCTTTCCTAATGGCGGGAGGGCAGAAAAGACTGATACTTTTTACCTTACCCTACAACCAGGCTCCTCTGAGCCCTTTTCTAGACTAAGTCTCAACTCTGGCCTATATGAACTTCAACTTTCAACACAATTTAATCTCTATGTTAATAAACTTCAACAAACACCAGCAGAATTTTCTATCAGTTCAAGGCCATGCCCCTTGGATGATGACCTGAGAAAGTTCAACACTGCCAAAAGAATGAACTGTTTGTTCTAGTCAAAAACTAAGCATAGTGTCTTGGCCTCCCAATTTTTAGAGCAAAATTTACTTTAGAAAACTTATGATTATAAATCCT